GCGGGTGGCGGTGGCGGCGGCGACGGTGGCCACCGGAGCGGCGGCGGCGGGAATTAGAACTGCGCCACGGGCTGGGCGGCGGGGGGGGCGGTGCCTCTGTGCGTCATCAGCCGGCGCCGCCGCCGCTTTACGTCATCGCTGTGCGGCGGGGAGCGGTGAGGCGCCGGGCGGCGGGGAGGGCCCTGCCCTGAGGAGAAGGGGCGGCGAAATGGCTGGGCCTTTCTGTTGCAGGCATCGAGAACCTGCCCTGCGAGCTGCAGCGGAACTTCCAGCTGATGCGGGAGCTGGACCAGCGGACGGAAGGTGGGTGTGTGGGGAGGGGGGTCCCGGGGAGCTCAGGGGCCTGCGGGGAGCTCAGCCCTCTGGGCACTCGGCCGCGGGGGAGGCGTCTCCCCTCTGGGCCCCTCTGCGGCGGTTGTTCCCTTCCCGCCAGGGCTCCAGCTGACAGGACATGAGGGGTTTTTCCAGCCTTTGGCGTGAATTCTCTGTAATGGCTGCACCCGCGCCCCCCTCGGCTGCACCTCGGATCCACCGATCGCCACAGCTGCGAGGTTGTGGGTTGCTGTGTGTCTTGCAAGACTCGTTTTTAGGGGTTTTTTTTTTGTCTTTTTTTTTTTTTTTGAGGTTTCTGTTGGCATCTGGCTGGACGTTAGTGGTTTTAAACTTGGGTTGAAACGGGTTTCAGTTTGAGCCGTTAGAAGGGTAAATAGAATATTCTGTGTGTGGGAAAAGAGGTTGGAGCTTGTGAACCTGTCGGTTCAGATTCTGATCTTAACCCCGAGCCCCTCTGAATTAACTGTAAAGCACACGAGTGTTGAAAAGTGAATAACTTTAACTTCACCATTTTTAGACAAAGTAAATACGTTAAGGAAGAGGGAGAAGTCACAAGGTGTCAGGAGAGATCTTCTAAATACCTACAGAAGTAGAAAAAAAAAATACTTGCTTTTGTAGGCAGCTTTCTCACGTTTTCTCATACTTTGCTTTTCAGATAAGAAAGCAGAAATTGACAGTCTTGCAGCAGAATACATCGAATCGGTGAAGAACATGTTACCTGAGGAGCGAGTGGAACACCTGAAGAAAATCCAGAGTGCCTACAGCAAATGCAAAGAGTACAGTGATGATAAAGTCCAGCTGGCCATGCAGACGTACGAGATGGTGAGGATCATAACCAGTGAGACTTCTGTTAAAAACAGCCGTACTCCAGAATGGGGCTGCTGGTGGATGTGGAAGACACTTCCACAGGGTCCATTTTCCATGACATATTTATGGTTTTGTTCAAATGTCTTACTGCAAAAAAATTAGTGGCCCTCAAATTTATTTTTCTTACTCTTGCCACCCCCCAAAAGCCTCCCTTTGTGTTGCCAGGTTTTGTGTCAGATGGGCTTCTCTTCTAGTGAAGAGTTAAATGAATTAATCCTGCTTGGAGATAGGTACTGCTGATCAAGCTGTCTGCTGTGTAACAATACCAGCAAATTTATCCTGCTCCTTCCTCCCCAGTAGCTCCCCTGTCACCTGGTCTTAGTTGGGCAACATTTTTCAAGTCAACTTCAATACTGTATTGTTGAGGAATGGCAGAAAATCTGCTCAGTTGCCTTGGTTTCCATGTGACAAAAGAAAGCAGACCTGTCAGCTCCGCCATTCTGGTTGAGTATTGGACACCAAACTTTCATTGATGGGCTTGGTGGGAAAATCTCATTTCTTAAGATGCAGCTTCTGCTTTTTCCTTCTTCTGTCCCTACTCCAGCGTCTCTGTAGCTCTCCCTTGAATAATTCTTATCTCTATGTATCTTATTCCCTAGATAAAACTTGAGTGAGTGGAATCCTTTTGACTGTACGTAGTGTGTTTTGTCCAGCTTCTAGAGATGCATTGCGTTCTGCTACTTCTGCAGCTGCGGTACCTTTTGTTGCCATCAATTACTGCAGAAAAGGAAATTATTTCTCACGAATGGAAAAGCGCCCCAGCTAACTAATTTGAGGACTAGGTATCGCAGCAACACGCTTTGGGGGTGGTAGCTTAAAATAGCTTTGCTGCATCTCTGTCCTGTAAGCCCCATTATTGCAACCAGGGTAGTGGAAGGTACTTCATTAACGCATATTTACTTGATACTGGAGATAGTCTGCTTAAGCCTGTATTTATTACTAAATTTCTGGGAATAGTGGAATACCAGAAAATACCAGTGGGATACCAGGGAAAATAGACTGATCCACTCAATGTGTTTCACCATCAGTAGTTGAATAACATATTTTTAAAATTATAGGCAGAAAACATTTATTTTTAATGACTTTCACAGTCTTGTTTTGTTCTGCAAACTCTTCATCTGAGTTGCTTTGACTCTCCTTTATGCCACCTCCCTTTTCCTTCCTTTCTCTTTGTCTGTAGAGGGACTGGATCCTCTTGCTTTTCCCTGTTTTCTTTCTCTCTCCGCCTTAATTCCCTTTGTGTGTACCGTTTCCCTTTTTGCAGTTTGGTACCCCATTCATGCCTTGCTCTGAACTAGTGCCCTCCTGTTCGTGTCGATAACGGCCGATTTATTAGACCTTCCTGTTTTTCCTTTGGGGATTTCTTATTTTATAATTCAGTTTGTGGTTTCCTCTTCTGTGCAGGTGGATAAGCACATCCGCCGGCTGGATGCAGACTTGGCGCGGTTTGAAGCGGATCTGAAAGACAAACTGGAAGGCAGCGACTTTGAAAACGCTGGATCTCGAAGCCTGAAAAGTGCGTAAATTTTATACGGTTGACAGCCTTTTCCAGCACTGAGCGTGGCTAACCAGAAAGGCTAAAATACAAACTAGGCTGTTATTTCTGGAGGAGGAGAAGCAGTACACTATCGTGTACTTCTCTACTTGTTTTTAATGCTCTTCAGATATTTACAATGTTCTGGTTGGTGATAAACAAATAAAAAAAAAAAAAAAACCCTAGTGCTGCAATCTAATGTACTGTCACTCCTTGCCAGATCACCTCACCTTGAGGTGGCCCACAGTTACTGGTTTTAAGGAGGCTACTGGCCAAGGGGGAACTAGCTGTGACAAAACCGAACTGATCTTCCTGCAGCTCTTGAGTGTGACAGTCTTAGTTTAAGGCTTGATCTGTTACTGAATAAGTTACAACCTCTTCTTGAGGAGAGGGGATTTGCCTGTTTACCTCCTTTTACCAGAATTTGAAAACTAATCAGGCTGAGAACATCAGGAAAAATTAGAAGTTAGAGGAAGGTACCAGTTTCTGTAACGTATACTGGAAATCTCGAAGGGTTACAGTGACATTTGAGCATGGTTAACAGCAGCACAGCTTTCTGCTTTTGAACTATGAAATAAGGGGTAAGATCAGGCATGTGGAGATAAAAGTTCCATTAGATATTGAGTAATCAATTAACTGGCTGAGTGTTTGAAATATACTGAGATTTAAAAAAAAAATTACGGGATGTCTGATCCAATGTGATGCTATTTATGTCTTGTGCAACAGTATGGGCTAACGTTGTACTGCTATTGCCAAAACTGAATGCAAGAGTTTGGTGCTCAGTCATACTACTTGCCATTTGTGGCATAAAAATGTATTTCAGAATCAGCATTCATGTTCAATTACATATGAAATAAGCCTTTCAAAACAATATGTGCCTCAAAAGAAAAACATCTGGGGATGTTTCTGGTATTCAAAGGGGTTGAAATGATGGGGTTTTTTTTCCTTTATAGAGGGACGAAGTCAGAAAGACAAAAGAGGCTCTCGCGGTCGAGGCAGACGAACGTCTGAAGAAGATACACCAAAGAAAAAGAAACTCAAAGGAGGGTAAGGCAAACCCAGTCACAGCTCCGGTGACTTTGGCTTGACCCTTCACAAATTTTCCGCAAGCTTGTGTTACCCTATTTATGACTTGTGTCTGGATGGTGAGCAGTGTTAGAGTGTTCTGGTCTTACTCCATTTTATGAGTGTCCTGCTTAGAACAAGTGTCAGCTTTGTTAATTAACTCCTTGGTTGGCATGTGGACACTCAGCATGCTTGGAATGCCCGCTGACTGGAAGGACAAGATCAGCGTCTCCATCGCTGTTGGCAAGCTGAGAGAAAATAGCTCTGGTTTGTGTCATGCAGCTATTTTTAACAGTTGCTTGTGGTCTTGGTTGTAAAAAGAAACACTTGCCCATCAGGAAAAAAAAAAAACTTGTTGTTCTAGAAATCTTGGAGAATTTTGAGGGTTACTTTGAGAGAATCCTGTCCTAGACAGTCTTGAATAATCTAATTTGATTTTGTGAAGCAAGGAAGAAAACGTGTCCCCTCTCTGTGGTATGATTTATAGTAAAGGGGCTCTGTTAATCCTAATATTTTCAGTTGGCTAAATGGAGGGGCAGAAAACTAAAAATAGTTTCCATTGACTGTTACTGACTTGTTAACTTAATACATTCCTCTCAGAGCAAGAGTACGCAAGTGCAAGAGCACTTACACCTGATAACAAGAAAAGAATGTATATTAAAACAGATTTGGGAGGTGGGGAGAGTGGGGAATCAGATTCTTCTGTCCACAAGCAGAAGTGAGTGATCTGCTTGTTCATTTTGTTACTGTAGTCATGGCATTTACAAATCGTTCTCTCAATCCTTCACAGTCAAGCTGATGTTTTGTATTTGATCCAACCTGACTTACGATTTTAATTAGTATGTGATAACGTAACATGAAGTAGGAGCAGTGTGTTTTAGGGAAGCTAATTGTTAAAAACTAATTTTTCCAAGTGTGATTTAGATCTTGGAAGGATGGTGTTGGCACAACTGGAAAGTGTTTTGTCCTTGTCTACAGATCTGAGTTTGCTGATACCATCCTGTCAGTGCATCCCTCGGATGTCCTGGACATGCCAGTGGACCCCAATGAACCTACCTACTGCTTGTGTCACCAGGTGTCTTATGGAGAGATGATTGGCTGTGACAACCCGGATGTAAGCACTTGAGATGGTTTATTTTCAGATGTTTGCTGCATCACAACACTGAAATCTGAGGGAGGGGGTGGGTACTTGCTCAATTAGCTCATGCAAAATGAAAGGAACATTTGTGAAGCACCTCTGTGGGTTTTTCCTTTCTTGTTTTGCAGTGCCCAATTGAGTGGTTCCACTTTGCTTGTGTGGACCTCACCACCAAACCAAAAGGGAAATGGTAAGTGTGGCAATATCTAGGTTTTTGGTTTTTATCAGGCTGCAATATGCCTCAACAAGAGCAGAATAAGAAGGTTTTAATAACCTTGTTGCGACCCTTCCTGACAGAGGAGCTTTGCTTTTGTCATCAGAGGGTTTGCATGCTCTATAGTTTGGAATTGTCTTTGGTGAAGGTAGGAGGTACAAGGGGAAACTTCTTCCTGAAGTCTACTTCTATGGCAGTCTTAGGTTCTGGTGGGATCAAAGCAAGGACCAGGGCACATGCACAACTGCCATGATAAACAGCAGTTTCTTCATCCGAGGCTTGTGTTACATCTCAGGTTTGCTGTATTGTCACGTAGTTGTGGCTGTGGTTAAAATTGAGAAGAGACATGTACTTATTTTTTTCACTTCTGGAAGCTGAGTGCTCTCATCTAGTTAATTTACCCATCAGAAACAGGCTTAAGTGAAAGTCAACTGCAATCATTGGAGGGAGAGGAAGGAGTGAATTGGAGGAATGTGTCTTTTTTTTCCCATACAGTAATCTTGTGCAACAAACTTTGGAGAAGTTAACTTGGAGTAACTTTTAGGTGAATGACATAAGGTGAATCACAGCTGTGATGAGCCCTGGAAGCCTTCTGGTGCACTCCTCACTTGGTACAATTCTTTCCAGTTTGCCCGGGTTTCCTGGGTGTCATGAAAATTTAAAAGCAATTACTTAAATTGGCTACTTTTAAACCAACTTCCCACACAGTTATTCCCAAATAACAAAAAGAGTTCTTGGGCTATGTGTTGTTTACTTCAGGAACTAATTACTGCTTCTTTTTCCCTATAGGTTTTGTCCTCGTTGTGTTCAGGAAAGAAAGAAAAAGAAGTAAGGAGTAGAGGGAAATAAATCCTCGGAGGCAAGAAGAATTTAATATATTCCTTCATTCATGTTGCAATATTATCTTTGATTTTTTTTTTTTTTTTTTTTTTTAATCTCCCCCCCTTTTT